AAGAATATTGTGTGACAAATTTATCCTGAAACAAAATAGTTGTTTTAAAAAAGGTAAAAGGCAAGACAAAAGTTAAAGAAAATTTAAAATGTTTGTCAATTGTCTGTGCAGGATAAGTGAAACTCATAGAAGAGATTTTGTGAGGAAGTTTACATGTGATCCACTTGACTATGTATTTCCTTTAGAATCTTTTGGTTTATAGTCTTGGTTGAACAAATATTTTAAGCCTTTGATATTTGACAAACCTCCCAAAATCAAAACTCTTAAATTTAGGGCTTGGTACCCATAGCACAGTGGTTGTGGCGCCAGCCACATGAACTGAGACTGGCAAGTTCTGAACCTAAGAAAAAACAAATCAGACTTACTTGATTTGTTAAAAATATATGGGAAGCATTGTCAGATATGAAATGGTGATTTTGTGTGAGTTATAATTACATATATATGTTTCAATATTATAAGACATTGGTCTGTCCTCATCTGTAAAGCACTGATCTGTCCTAATGTATAAAACATTAATCTGTCCTAACATGTACTGTCGGTAATAATTTTAAACCTAACTTCAGACAGAACAGAAGTCAGTTACATAGAACTGGGCTAGTTTGTTATAGCTTTTTGTTCAAAATATCGTTGGCTCTTTCTGTGTTCTGTTTTCCAGAAATCAAGAGAATGATTTTCTGTCTTTTGAGCTCTTTGTAACTTTTTAAGCAATGCATATACTTATGAGCAGAGTTTAAAACATGTTTTTTTTTCCTCCTTAATTTCTCCAGAATTTACAAGCCATTTGTAAGTATTCTTAATTTCTAACAATACAGTTATTTGCATAAGTTCAATAAGAATCTGTTTTGTTCTGTAAGACATGATGAAGACACTGGTTATTTTACCAAAGCTTTGGCTGGAATAACATTTCCAAAGATGTCCAATAAAAAGCCCTTTGGAAAACTGGCCAGATACCCATCAGTAACATTTCCTGATCTGTGGGAAGTAACGAAGGTAACTTCCTGATAGGTCTGGGAGTCAAAATATGCTTGGGAACCTCAAGAAAAGAGGAATTTACCCAATGTATACAGGTATCTAATAGCACAGATGAAACCTGGGCTTGTGAAAAGCTTCAAGTACAACTGAAATCCCATAGAAAGAATTCCAGCAAAGCCAATTTTAAAGGGAGACTAGATGGCTAATAATTAGTTATTCTTGCTGCACTTTATGCAAATAATCAGTATACTGAAAGTACAGTTTATTCTGGCAAATGAGTTAGTTCAGCTATAATTTGTCTTAAATAAAAAGAAATTGGAGAGAAAAAAATAAAAAATAAATAAAGGAGGCTGTGGCCCACTTGTATTAGATCCCAGCTTTGTCTATACTGTCAACTCATAAAATGAGACATAACTGTTTTACTAAACTGATCTGTTAAATGGGACTAAAAGACTGGCCAAAAAGTAAAAAATTATATATAGTAGTTATCTTTACTCTGAAGACTTAAAACTCAACAAAGGTCACCTGTTAAAAATTTGTGCAGTATTATAAATATTACTGAGTAATGTGCATAAACAAGGCCATAAAAGCAGGAATCGGTAAACTCTGCCAGAAAGCAAAGTTTAATTAAATATAAGCCTTGCCACCAGTATTGTTCAAGAAACTTTCATCAATCCTCTGCAATTTAACAGGGACTCCTTAAAAAAAAAAAACCAGAGAAATTGAATTGAATAGCCACTTAGGTAATTAACTGCATTCTACTATATAGCAGCTGCATACCTCCAACCCAGAAACTGAGCTTGGCCATCAAAGTCGGAAAGAAGAAGCCGTAAATCCACTGTCCCCACAACCAACAAGATCAGAAAAAAAAAAAATCCATAAAAACTTTTATTCAGACAAACAGTCCTATAGGGGAGTGGGAAATTATTACTGTAAAAACTGAAGCTGTAAAACAGGTTACCCAGCTTATAAGCTCCTCCCACCCTCTGGCCGTGTCTCCTAGTTACTTAATAACTCCAAGAAACTTAATTCACATATTCCACTAGTTTAACACCTTACTCCATAGTCATAAATACCACAGCTCTAACCACCAAGCCCCTCAGAATTAACCTCATCATCTTCAATTCAGATGAATTAAGGATTTAATTCCCAAGAAGACCACTGGGGAATGCTGCAAGCACTCCCAGCCCATTCCCGCCCGCCCTCTCCTGTTCCCCTGCCCTCTCCCATTCCTCATCCCTCTTTCCCAGCCCGTTCCCATGCCCCCCAAGAGTTGAAGCATGGGAAGTCCCAAGTTTCACAAAAAAACCCCCAAGTTCTCAGTGGAAGAACAATGGTGGAAATCCACCAAGGCTGTATTAATCAAGGTTACATAACTATAACCATTGTGATTTGAGATACCACTGTCAACCAAAGCTGTATTAATCATTGTTACATAACTGTAACCATTGCTGTATCCATGACTACTCCAAACTGTAACCACCCCCCAACCAGCCACTGTATGCTTTTGTAGTATGCTTGCAAAAAAATTATATAAGGCAACTTGCCCATTGCTGGGACGGAACTATCTCTCAAGACAGTCCCCTGCACAGATTCAATAAATTTCTGATTGATTGCATTTAAGGGGGGTCCGACTCTATATTTTCAGGTCTAGGGGTATTACAATCAGAGGTAAAAGCCTGTGATTTTTAGTGGGTATCATGTACCCCCAGCAAACATTTGGGGGTACATTTTGATTTAGTCTTTTTATTTCTCAAACCTTTGACTTGGTGAATCCATGCAATACTTTTTCTTTTTTTTAATTCAAGCAGCATGATAATGTGAAGAGAGTACAACCTAGGCCTGAAGTTTGGTATAGCAAATTAAGTTCTTCAGCCTCAGTTTCCCAATCGCAAAAATTGAGGCAATTACTTATTTTGTTGTCTTAGTTGTTAATAACTAAAGCATTATCAGTGTAACTTAAGTCCCACATACCCTTCCTGTTCCCATTCTCCTCCCACATTTGATCATCATTATTGTAAATTTGACTCTTATTGTACAAGTCTGCATTTTTTCACTACATTGGTATATATTCCTTAACAATATATAGTATTATTTTAAAATTTAAGCATTAACACATTCTGTATTTCCTTCCTGCAACATGATTTCCCTCACTCAACAATGTTTTTGTCCTGGCTATCTTGGGGTAAGGGTGGGGTCCATAGCAGGAGTAGAGGAAGAGGTCAAGAACCATCCTGAGCTCAGGCCCAGCATTATCTGGGGACAAACATTTCCCTTTCTTGTTCTTGAAGACATTTACGTTCACTGATTTGGCATGTATTTATCAAAGCCCTCTTTTGGGCTGAAGACACCCGTCTGCAAAGAGTGGCACCCACTTCTTCCTGGCTGTGTTCTCCACTCTCCAGACCAATGATACTCAGCCTGCTTTGGGTAATGGTGGACTCCTACTAGAGAAAGATCCCTGAACAAACCTGTCTCAAGTTCTATTCCTGGAATTCTGAGTTTAGACAGCACTGGGAATGGGGAGTTCAGAGACCAGTGCTTATCCTCAGTTGTTATTTCCAAGAAACTGGACTGCTCTGAGCATCTGTCCCATGGAAGTGAGCTCCAAAGTGGCTGCCATCTGGCCTTGGCTTGAGTGTGGAGTAACTGAAGAGGCATTTTCCCAGACTTCATGGTACTCCCAAAGGTATGGAAAACCTAATGAGGGCACTCCCTCACTATACATGATGGGGCTGAAAAGGAAGGAGAGAAGTCAGGGAAGTGGTTATAAGTCTCAGCCTACTCTTGCAGTTGGTTTGTCTACTGACTTGGCCATATCTTAAAATCCCAGCACCAAGTTCCAAAGCTCAGTGCCGCCCATAAAGAAGAGGCCTACACAATCCAAGAACAGCCAAAACCAACTCACCCATTTATTTGACCAAGAACATTTTAAAGACGACAGAATTAAACAATCTTTAATAAAATTCCTATAGAAAACTCAGTCTCAGGGCAAATACACACTTCTCTTTCTCGTATAATCAAGGATTGAGAGCTCCCAGTTTCTTTGGAGAAAAAGCAGTAGTTCTGCTGGATGTTACCAGTACTCAGAAAGAGCGTCCATCTACACATTCAAACCAGTAGTTCCTATTGCACATATTAACATTACTTGCCGCCTAGCACCCTAAATATATGGTACCTCAACAAATAAATTAAAGATTTCCAAGTGACAGGAAATCATTTCAATTTGAACTAATATCCTTGAAAAATCACATTATTACAAGTTTTAATAAATACAGTAAAGATAGTTGGCATTTTATTAAAATACTGAATCTTAGATCTGGAGTTTATTCCATAAATAGGTTCCTTTTTATTTGCTTGCTTTCTTGGATACATTTACTCAAGTATTATCCTCTATGAAGTGAATTCTTTCATAGATACCATATAAAAACTGCATTAATATGTGCCTCATTATAGAAGCAGCTGGAAGAACTGGATCACACAGTTAACTAACTGAAAAGTAACTTAAAAAAAGCTCCGCTTTGTGTAAAACTTTAAAACACAGGCTGAAGAATCCCAAAGAAATATCTTTTTATATAGAACTCCCACTAGAAATTTTATAAATATATATGCAGCATATCTATATATATATATATATAATATTTGCCTCAAGATTTTCAGCAATTCTGGTTGGAATGATGCTATTATGGAGATAAATATTAACAAAAGAATTAATGAGTTTCCACAGGTTTATAAGATTTCTTTTGAAAAAAGTCATAAATTCAAATTATAATAATTTATAGTCTACACAATTTAAAAGGGAAGAAAGACGCCTTTCTTTTAACCCTCATTTGGAAAACAAGAACAGCCACTGGCCCTCAGGTGTGGATAAGTTATTGGCCAAGTGATAATACTTGCTTACAACACTGAAAAAAAGTATTTACACCTTTCTGGGAAAGTACCAAACATTGAAAAACAAACAAATCAGAAAACAATCCCTAGTTGCATTCCATGGCGTGCAAAGTCAGCAGGAAATGATTATCCATAACGTTGACAATTTTCATGATGAGTCTTGGAAGCATTCAAAAAGCAGGGGGTAGTCATCAGGATTTTTCAGATTAGATTCTGTGGGATGCCTTGATCTTAATTTAAATCTGAGTTCCAGGATCTCATTCCCTTTATAACATCTCTGGCAAGGTCATGTTTGATTTAGTGCAAGTACAAAATAAAAACAAAACGAAACCAACAAATACATTATGAGCAAAGGCTGATCGTTAAGATCTATAGTCTTTCCGAACTGTGTGCGCCATCCAGTTCACTTTAGTAGTCCAGCTTTCCCTGAGTGCTTCATCAAATTTCTGCTTAAATTGTTTAAGGGCTTCTTCTTCACTCTTCCCTAAGGCAAGAGAGTCCTAAAACAGAAGGAGAAAGAAATTGGACTTTATATATCCTTAGAAGAGATGCATAAGTACCAAACATCCTCATGTTCTTATTTAAATATGATTTGTAGCAGGGAGAACACCAAGGTAACATGACCTCTGCTAAAGGGTTTTTAAAGAAGAAGAGAATTTATAAATACTGAAAAACCCACACTCAGCTGCTTGCAACCACCACCTAAATCCAGAGTTATTAAGACCCTGGCAAATGAAAGTCACGCTGCTGAAAGTCAAAGTGCCAAAGAGCTGGTACCACATGTCTTCCAGTATGTGGGTGTGAAGTCCACTGCCCCATACCAGTCTTCTTTATGCCCGTCTACTGATGAGAAAATCTGAGTTAAAGCTCTTTCAAAATTGCTCCTTCATATGAACTTTCCAGATATTTTCCCTCCTGGCTAAGAACCATCTCAGAGGAAATGATTTTGTTCTGCTCCCTTCAGATATTTGAATGAAATACACAGCTATACCTGAGTTCCATGCCCACAAAGTCCAATAAGGAAAGGGAGTTTGTACCTTAAGATACTGTATGTCCTTGACTGATGTGAGCTCAGGAAGCCCTGCAGTCAACATCAGTGCAAAGAGAGTGATGAAGAGATTCCCATGCCGTCGTAAAATCAGGTATGCATCTTCACAACACTGGCGGAACCTTTGGTCAATACGGCAAACCACATGAGCAGTGTTAAAGAGGAGAAAGCAAATTTCGTAAAGGAAAGCAAATTTCTAATTTCTATTAGAGCTGAAAACTTTTGCCAAACTTAAGGTTCATTTCTGATCTTCTGTGTAAATTGTCCCAGGACTAAAATTTACATAAAATAATCAGGTTCTCTAAAATCACATCTATCTTTTTCAAAAACAAAACTAAACAGAAATTCTATGGCAAAAGGCAATGTAACACCTCACCTAAGCTTCAATGAGACACAGAACTGATAATTAAACCATTAAACTGATAATTACATGAGGACTGTACTTCTGCATTCTATATTTGTGGTCTGACTCCAGAGACTAATTTCTTTAACATCCTTTCAAATCAGTGTCAATGCTTTTGCATCGCTCTTCCCACTTATCTTGCCTTCCCTCTCTCCTCCTCAACAGGACCATCCAATCTTATCCCCCTTATTTTGCCAAACAGAAAACTGAAACCAGGGTAGTATATTCTGCAGAAACCCAGGCAGAACTAGAAAGACAGCAATCATTTGTTTACCATGTGTTGGTTATACATAGTATATGATATATCCCTAATCATAACAGCCCTGTAATTTTATTATTTCTGTCCCCTTTTTAAGATGAAATAAAGCAAGAAGACAAGTAATATACTTGGGAACATGTAAGTAGTAATTGTCTGGTCAGACCCCCAGCTCCCTCACTGTACTTCATACAGAATGACAGCAAAATGCTTGCTTTCTCAGCATATTACTATCAAATGTTTTAACATATTCCAATAATTTTCTGAAATAGGTAAAAGGTAGTGTATTATTGGAACAAAACAATGGAACATTTTGAATTTCTTGCGTTCTGTTTATCCTTCCTGAGCATTTCTGAAGCAGCATGGGATCTGACAGGCAAATCCCCCTCCCCCAAAAGTTTACTGTTATCAGACTGAATATATCCCAGATCCTATATCTCAACTAGGAAATGCGAGTCAGGCTGGTCAGATGAGAAAGTGTCAGGCATGTTTGGCCTTGACATGAGGGCGATACTTACCGGCCAAACTTTTCTGTGTTTCCTGTTTTTCCTTGCTGAATGACATGAATGAAATCATAAGTAAGAATAAAAGGCACGCGCTCCCTTTTAATGCCAAATTTAGATTTGAAATTTCCAAGAATATGTCCAAAGTCAATGTGGAAGAGCTGGAAAATAAATGGGATTTAACTTTGCTTATGTTTCTAGTGAGGTTCAAATAGAAGATCTCCATTGTCCTAGATCCTCAAGCCCTATAGCCAGGGGTTGCCAACCTTTTTATTCCCTCTGCCTCACAGCAGAAGAATACCTGTCTTGGGCTACACAATAAATACACAAACATTAATGAAAGCTGATTAGGAAAAAATAATATGTCTGATTTTTTTTTTTTTTTTGGGCTAGGCCTACCACCTCTAGCATATGGGGCCGGTGCCCTACTCCTTGAGCCACAGGCACTACCCAAATATGTCTGATTTTTTTAAAAGTCAAATATTTTTGTAAAACTTAATCAAAAAGAGTACATTCTTGCCCCACTAGCTCCGTCACCTTCAGTGCTACTCCCATGGGCTTAAAAATAACTTCTCCTAAATAAATAAATAAATAAATACTTCTCCTTACTCTTTCATGCGTTTTTCTTGATTAAAAAAAAATAGTATGTTAGGGCCAGTGCAGTGACTCACGCCTGTAATCCTAGCATGCTGGGATACCAAGGAGGGTAGATTGCTTAAGACAGCCTGAGCAAGAGCTAGATCTTGTCTCTACTAAAAATACAAAAATTAGTTGGGTGTTGTGGTAGATACTGTAGTTCCCTCTACTCAGGAGGCTGAGGCAGGAGGATCCCTTAGGCCCAAGAGTTTGAAGTTGCTGTGACCTATAATGCCATAGCACTCTACCTAGGGTGACAGAGTGAGACTCAGCTTCAAAAAACAAAAACAAAGTTTATGCTTTAACTTCCTAATTTTAGATTACTATTCCTATTACAGAAGGTTAAAGGTTTAGTACTCCTGTGGTAAAATAATGCTACATAATGTGATACATTATAATTTCTAGCTAAATCAAAAGTCAGTGTCCACACTTTTCAGATTAGCTAAATACACATCAAAGCTAAGCAATGTGACAGTGTATACTGTGACTACATTTCCTTTTCCTTAGCTTGGCATTCTATCATTAATTCTTCCTTAAATATCTACAAATAATTTTCAAAACTGGTTTTCAAACAGATTATCTATTGGTTTCTTTCTTTCTTTTTTTTTTTTTTTGAGACAGAATCACTTTCTTGCTCCCAGTATAGCGCTGTGGCGTCATAGCTCACAACAACCTCAAACTCAAGGGTTCAAGTGATCCCCTTGCCTCAGTCTCTCATGAGGAGCTGGAACTACAGGTGCCTACCACAACATCTGGCTATTTTTTTTTTAGAGACAGGGGTCTTGTGAGCTCAAGTGATCCATCCACCTCAGCATCCCAGAGTGTTGGGATAACAGGCCTAGTCCACCACACTTAGCCTACATATTGGTTTCTATCTTGGATGGTTGTTCTCTATCTAGTTTTGCTACAGAACCATCATCCTGGGCTTTCCCTATACTTTTTTTCCCATCTGAAACCCCTATGTCCTGAGTCCTACATCACATTCTCTTGTAACTGAGACCAGCCAGGGTCCTCATCACTGGGGCTACTGATATTTTTACGCTGTATAATTCTTTATCATGGAGTCTGTCCCATAAACTGTAGGGTCTTTAGCAGCATCCCTGGCCTCTACCCACTAGATCACCTCCCCATTACAACAACTAAAAATGTCTTCACACATTCATAAATATCCCCTTAGCAAAAAATCACCCCAGATGAGAACTAATAGTTTACGCTTATTCTGGTAGATACCTTTTTTATTTATTTTTTTTGGCCGGAGCCGGGTTTGAAACCGCCACCTCCGGTATATGGAGCCGGCACCCTGCTCCTTTGAGCCACAGGTACTGCCCTGGTAGATACCTCAATTTTTCAGTTTTCTGAGAAAAGATGAAAAGGAGGAATAGCTTTTGAAACCTGGCACTTTTGAGATGTTTTTATTCTATCCTTCATACATGATTGATAGTTTGGTTACAGAATCCTAGATTAGAAGTCATTTTCCATCAAAACTGTGAAGGGTGACTTTCACTGTCTCAGAGTTTTCATCGTAGCTATTGAGAAGCTAAGCCATTCTGCTCCTAAACACCACTATGAGGCCTGCTGTGTATCTGGGAAGGCTTTAAGACCCTCTCTTAATGCCTGATGCACTCAAGTTTCATGATACAGGTGTTTTTCATCCATTTTAAAGGAACTTTTGGGTACTCTAGATATTCATGAGCACTGGCTCTGTCTTCCTCTTCTGCTTCTTTCTGGAATTCCTATTAGGCTGATGGTGTACTTCCCTGGACTGAGTCTCTAGTGTTTCTGGATTTTTTTCTTTTTATCATGTTTTGTTTTGGTGATTAATTAAGGTATAGTGTTTTCTTTTTTTAATGAGACAAACTGTCTTGGCTTACATCCTGATACATTCACTCTTTGTTGCCTGAGTTTCCTCATCTATAAAATGGAGATAATACTATCACTTATTCTGTAAAGTCATCATGAGGATCAAGGACATTAAGTATAAAGCACTTAAACCGTGCCTGTCACAAGACTGTTTACACTACTTCTTTTTGTTTGTTTCTATTTTTAATTTCTAAGACCTCTTTCTATTTTCTGATTTTAAAAAAAGTACTCATTATTGCTTCATAGATACACCACCTTCTTTAAAAAAAAAAAAAACTTAAAAAAAAATCCTCTGTGTACTGCAGTTACTCTGTTTTCCCAGAGTTCTTTTCTGCCCCCATTTTGCTTCTTTGGGCTCTGTTTTTCATGGTAGAGGCTTCCCTCAAATGTCTGCTAATCCAGTAGAGAGCAGAACGGTGGTTACTAAGGTCTGATCTAGAGCCAGAGTTCATACAGTAATCCAAAGATTTAATTCTAGTACATCCCTAGTGGCAGGGAATTCCCAGGATGGCTAAACTGAAAAATTATCCAAGATATCTCATATGTCTTTGCTTAATATAAAAAAAATTTATAAATAACATTAAGTCATTATGAAAAATAAGACTATTTTTTCCTGAAAACTAAATACTTCTTCATGAATAAAATGACCTAACTTTCCTAGCTACCCCCAAATGCTATTATTAGCACTACTTTTCTCTCTATTCCCAAATATGATTAGGTTTGATGGTCTGAAGAGGAAAATGACTTCAGTAGGGCTCATCTCAACATTTTCTTACCACTGGTAATACATTCATCACGTTACCTATTCCTTTTGCATCCCAAATATAATATCTTTTTTTTTCCTTTTTTGAGAGACACAGTCTCACTTTATTGTCCCTGGTAGAGTGCCATGGCGTCATAGCTCACAGCAACCTCCAACTCCTGGGTCTAGGCAATTCTCTTGCCTCAGCCTCCCAAGTAGCTAGGACTACAGGCACCGGCCACAATGCCCAGGTATTTTTTGGTTGCAGTTTGACCGGGGCCAGGTTTGAACTCTCCACCCTCGGTATATGGGGCTGGTGCCCTCTTCACTGAGCCACAGGCGCTGCCCCCAAATATAATTTCTTTATTTTACTTTATTATTCTTTTTTGAGACAGGGTCTGGGCAGGCCTGGGCTGGTTTCAAACCTGCCAGCCATAGTGTATGTGGCCAGCACCCTAATCAATGAGCTATGGGCACCAAATCAATTTTTCTATTTTTTGTAGAGACAGGATCTTACTCTCATATAGACTGGTCTCAAAGTCCTGACCTCAAGCAATCTTCCCACCTCAGCCTTCAAAAGTGGCATTACAGGCATAGCCACATAGCCACCATGCCCTGCCCCAAATATAATTTCTTATATTGAAAGAATAGGCCACATTTAAATAACTACAGTAAGTTTTTCAATAATTTTTAAACATTTAAATAAATGCTTATAATCTAGCTTTAAGCAAACAAATGAATACATATAGCAGATGGTACATGAAACATGAGCTGGTGGGAAATAAAAGGAAAGACAATATATCTTTACACGACTCCAAGAGCCAATAAAGAATCTATCTGAATTTCAGAGGAGATGATGCTGTACCCAAGGAATAGCATCCCAAGACCCTTGGCAGACACTGTGGAGCAACCTACCTGGCCAGTTTTTTTGACCATGATGTTATCACTATGTCTGTCACCAATCCCAAGGACATAAGAAGCTACACAGTAGCCGGCACAGGACAGGGTAAACTCTTCAATGGCTCGGTCCAGGTCATCCCTGAAAGTGAAAAAAGAACATTAGCAAAAAAGGTTTTCAGCCTCCAGATATGTAGGGTGAGATCCAAACCACAACTGTTTCCTTTACAATTATGAGAACTGTAACACAGAGCTGCCAAAATCATAGGAGAGAACTTGCTAGATCAGCCAAGGGGAGTGAGGATGTTATTATAGGAACAAGTCAGAAAAGAATCAGCTAGCTTCAAAGATAACTGGGTCTCAGCCACCCACATTTCCTGGGAATGAGATTTTGGTGGGAATGGGGTCAGCTCATACACACAATAAGGTGAAATGAGACCACGGCTTTGCTGGATCATTCTGGGGATATTTTTGTTTGAGCTTCCAACCATTTAAATCACTGACTTTAATTAGAAGTGAGTAATATAGGCCCCTTGGAGACAAAGCCTTAAGAAAAATTTTGGAAGCTGATTCTCATATATAAACCTTTGATCTTACTAATGATAAAATTCAAGTCTGACTTTGAGGTCTTTAGCCAAAAATACATGCAGAGTATTTCTTCCTTACTGTCAAATTCTAGTCTTTTCTATATATTAGCAATTTTCCAACTCCAACCCTAAATAACAAAATTCCAAGTTATATCATTATACCTGAAATATTTCCTCTAAGACATTAAAGACTTCTAATGGAAAAATGGTTACAATATTTGTTTGGCTTTTTGTACAGAAAAATGATAATTAAGAATAAACTTTTACCATAAGGACACTTGCACTAGACTATCGCAGCTCAATTTACAATCACCAAAATGTAAAAATAGCCTAAATGCCCACCAACCCAGGAATGGATTAATATTAATAAGCTGTCGTACATATATACCATGGAATACTATTCAGCCATTAAAAAAATGGAGACTTTACAGCATTTGTATTAACTTGAATGAAAATAGAACATATCATTCTTATTAAAGTATCACAAGAATGGAGAAACATGAATTCTATGTATTCAATTTTGAAATGAGGACAATCAATGACATGGTGGGGGGTGGGGA